AAAGGTCTTGTCCAGTGCTCTTCAAATCACCATGTAGGTGACTACCCCACCTCCAGATCCATGTCTGACACACAATTGGACTGATCCCCTTGCCTTTGTCCTTCAGGCTGAGAGAAAGTGGTCTCTACGTCTAGTCTACTCTATGTCTATACCGCTGGAAGTGGGACTTGTCTGTAGGCAGATCTTCAGTTCCAAGTCACTCAGACTTTAGGAATAAGCATCCCTACTGAACTCTGAGTCCTATGGCCCAGGCTGAGAGCAGGCCTTGTCTTGGGTCCCTCATCTCATTTCCCAGAGCCTGAACCCCTAGAACTCCCTTTGTCCCACTTTCTTAAATACTGGAGTCCTAGGATTGCTGTCTACCCTCCCAACATCCGATCTACATTCCCATCTGCATTTCCACAGTCATGTCTCCTAGAAAAGATTCAGTGTCCTCTGATACCATATGTGCTGAGCCTTCCTGAAGTTCACTACTTGTCTAGGCAACCACCTGACTGATGTCTGCTATTCTACTCTCTTAATCTTTCTTCCATTTACCAACCAATTTACGCTTTGTTTACTGGGTGCTTATGGTGTGCCAGGCTAGATGCTAATGGCAACTCATAAATAGTCTCGTTTTATCCTTATAGGAGCCCTTTATCTGTTGGTTCCATTATGATCCCTGTTTTAAGGATGGGGAAATTGAAGTTCAGGGTGGTTAAATAACTTCTTTAATAGCCTACAGATCATTAGTGACAGGACTAGGATGAGAATCCAGGTCTGTTTCTCTCCAGAACCTGAACTCTTACCAGTGGGCTCTACTGCCTGCATGATGACTATTGTTCATCACCTGTAGCTGAGGCTGTGCCAACAGCCTGCTCTATTCCAATAGGCTCATCCTTTCTTTTTTGGCCTATTCTTTTCTATGGGGTTAGTTCTGCTGAGTCTGACTGGATCATGGAACGTGTATTGTACAGAAGACCTACAATGACATGAATCTTCATACAGAGCTCAGGCTTCTTGATTAATTATCTCTCTGAGCACTTGTTTATGTACATAATATGCACTCAATAAATATTTACATGAACAAACAGAGAAATTGAGGGGTAGCATAGAAATTTCTTTCCTCACTGCCTCAGTTTTAAGGGATATATACTGGCACCCTGCTGTACCTTAATACTATTCCACAGGGAAAATTTCCCAATACCAAGGTTCAATATCTTCTAGTGTAAAACGAACCTATTTTTATTGGATTCTGTTTTGTAAACAACGAAGTTGCTCAACTTATCTCATAGAAATTCTTCCTATATCCTAAAATGTGTGCACATGGGTAGAAATCTGTGGACTCGATTCTAGAACGAATCATAGACCACCATTTTGATTGCAAATGAGGTATAAATAGGCTTAAAACCAAAGAGTTCGCCAAATAAGTTTGTCAATAATCAAGGTCATCCAATAGGGATCATGAATTATCACATGACAAATCACATGAAACAAAGGATCTTCTCTTATGTTGAAATCTAACTAAAGAGCAAGAGAAACATAATGTATTGTGCATACCTGTATCTGTGTGTGTTCAACTTCATGTGTATGTTGAGTGTGCATGTATGTATCTTATATGTGCGTGTGTATTTGTATGTATGTAACTATGTGGATATATGTATATGTGAGTTGTTGTTGCTAGTGCCATCGAGTTGGTTTAGATCCATAGTGACCCTGTATAGGGTTTCCAAGGAGTGGCTGGTGAGCTTGAACCACTGACTTTGAAGTTTAAACCTACTTTGCAGTCCAGCACATTAACCCACAGTGCCACACCAGGTGTGTATGGATGTATGGTATGTATTTATGGGGATATCTTTGTATTTGTGTGTTCATATGTATCTGTGTATGTGTGTGTTTGCCTGAGTTTTTGTAGTTGTTTGTATGCATTTTAATGGAGGAACAGGCTGAATCATCATCCTTTTGGAGTTGGAGCAATTTGTGGTGAAACAAATTTGTAAGGGAAGGGCAGGAATATAATAAATTTATGATGTTTAAGGTTTATTATCCAATGTAAATAATCTTGGGTAAATTTCAAATGGTAACCAGGTCAGAAATGAAGTTTAGGTTCTTTAGCTATATGCTTACACCATGACTTAGATTTAAAACTACACTGACTTTAAGGGTAATCATAATCATGTGATTTGGAGATTTAAGAGATAGTATAGTATAGGATCAGCATTGGAAAGCGAACTATAAGGTTGGTGGTTCAAACCCACCAGCTGCTCCTCAGAAACCCTATACAGGGTCTCTATGAGTCAGAACTTACTCGATGGCACTTTAACAATGACAACAACATAGTTTCATGAAAAGTAAAATGAATCTGGAATCAGAAGGTTCAAGTACTTTTTTTGCTGTTTACTAGTTGTGTGATTTGGGGCATATCTCCACCTATTTCATCATTCATAGTACAGGATATTTTTAAAAACAGTCCAACAATCTAAGACTCATCCAGATCCTTTGGGTTCAAAATGTGTTGGTTGGCATGATACTCACAGTAAGGAAAATGAAACACCATGTGTGTAAACAGTTTATGAGCTGTAAAGCTTGAATCAGATATATTCTTATGACTGACCTCGGGCTAAGTCCTGTTTTAGAATGATAATAATAGACTACAGGAGCTAAGAGTGTGTGTCCCTGTATAAAGCACCCAGGGGTCCTGTTGGGCCACCACAGAGGGTGAGTAGAAGATTAGCAATTGTGAGTATGGGGGTCCCATTGATCAGTGGAGGAAAGCATTGTCTAACTCAAAGGCAGGACCCTTCATTCATAAGGAGTTTATGAGAGTGACTAGATAGACACCTCCTTTCGTCTTTATAATCATGTAGTAAAACAGAGCTGGTTTATAATCCTGTTCAATCCTGGATTGAATGGAAGAGTCAGAGTATCCAAAGTAGCCACCCTGGAAACTCTGAGAAGGCACAGGGATTTGAGGGGGCAAAGGTTCGATGGGAGGTTAAGTGGGAGGTGTAGGGACTGAAGGAGAAGCCAAGTTCTTCACTCCGTTAGTAAGATAGGAGGTCCCCTGGCAACCCAATAGCTCTGCTCTGGGAAAATGTGTGTGTGGTGGGGACTGGGGCAAGGGAAGATGGTACTGTTTGTGTGGACATTTGGGAGAGAATTCCTTTTAGGAACAACATTTAATGCATAAGAAGGATTCCTGTTTGGCCTTTCTCTCTTTAGTTTCTCTTTTGAACAGTCTCTAAGGAGTGTTTCACATACAAACTATCACAATACCCATCATTGAAAAAAAGTGGAAGACATTTAGGGTGTTTAGAGACAGTGATAAGAGACGAACAAGAAAACCTACCCAAGACAACTTCTTCTGTGTTCTTTTGTGATTAGTACTGTGAAGAAGATAGTCTGACAAAGTTAGTTCCTTTTGATTTATTCTAACAAACCAAGTTGAAATACCCAGCCATAGAGAATGTTGCCTAAGGCATAAAATTTAAGGAGGTACTTACTCTCAGTGCCTCCTTAAATTCGGCATCCTAGATGCCTCCCTTGCATTGCCCTAGTCCAGGGCCTGACTCGTGGACATTTTAAGTGACATGTCCACTGGGAGGCCAGGAGGGTACATTTGTACTTGCTGTTACCACTCGGGGGCTCCCTTTCCCCCAGTCCTCCTTAACATCTGTCATTTTGGCCAAGAACCTTTCTAGGATATTCCCACAAGGGCAAGACTTCATAGTAGAAATTTCAGCAGGACTTCTGTGAAGCTGGATTCATGAAAACACTTTCAAAGGCAAACATCCAGGAAGGGAGAGAAGAAGACAGGGTTTTAAAAGGGCTGGGTTTTCTATTCAAAGTCCAGTTTGGCTGGATGACCTCACTGGCTCCAGCCTTTCTGTGTGGAGTTATTTCTTATTTCTGTAATGCTCCGATTTCCCTGAGTGGAGCGTAATATTGGTGGAAGTGGGAGAATCGGAGGATGCACAGGACAATCATGTCCTTGAAAATAGGGGATACGGTGCCCTGGAACCGTGATGGAAGGGTTAGGGATAGTGGATAGAGTGGCAGAACTGCTTTGGAAACCTGCTAGGTAAGACCTGGGAATATGCCTGTAAGAATGGAATTTCCCTGCTCTACATGACGAATACTACTGCTGACCCATTCTCCACAGGTCATGCCTTTCTCTCCTTCCTTATGAGGTCACTCACTGCCATTGAGTTGATTCTGATTCCTAACAACCCTGTAGGACAGAGTAGAACTGGCCCATAGTTCTACTGCAAATCTTAACAAAATCAGACTGACACACCTTTCTTCCTGGGAGCGACTGGTGGTTTTGAATCACCAGCCTTTTGGTTAGCAGTCGAGTACTTTAACCACCCCACACCAGCAGTGCTTCCCTTATGAGCTTAGCATCTTGCAAACAAAACAACTATCAAAGGTTATTCTTCTCATTGTCCAGGTAGCTCATGTGCCCTTCTTTCATCCCTATTGAACTTTTCCTTCAATATATCATATGCCTATTAGACTGTTTACTGCTTATGACTGACTGAAGGTACTTCCAAATTCCTGAAAACTCGAGTCATTGAATTAAGCAGATTAGTATAGTTTACCAATGAAATAGATTGTCCCTCTATTGCTTTTTAAATTTGCAATTATAATACTACTTTACCATTTCCCCACACTCATTTTATTCGACACAACACTTTATGTTAGGTAATGTTACTATTCCCACCTTATGAATCAGGAAACTGAGGCTCAGAGAAAATGTGACTTTTCCAATGGCTGCCAACTAGAAAGTGCTGAGTTTGGACCAAAACTCAGCTCTTTCGATTCCAATTCCAGAGCTCTTTCTACCGAGCCTTATTGCCTGTCCAGCCAACCCAAAGATGGGTCTCGGCAGAACAATTAGAATGCTTTCAGTCAACGGAACCCAGATTTTTCTCCTCTCCGGACCTATCTTTTGACTTCACCTTTTCTAAAACCTCCTGCTCTTCCACATCCTTTTCCCCCACACCCAACCAAGCCCTCACCTGGGTGGTCCAGATGGGACACAATTAAGTAGATGGTGAAGTCCAGGAAAGAGCAGTTGCAATTCCAGGGATTTCCACTCAGATACAGGGTCCTTAGTGTTACCAGGTGATGGAAGTCATCATGGCCCAAGAGCCGCAAGCCGGTATTTCTGAGGTCCAGGTACCTTAACGAGCTGGTGTTGGCAAAGGTGTACTTGTGAAGATATAACAGGTGAGGGTTGTTGGAGATATTCAGATGCACCAGGTTGCTGAGCACGGAGAAACTGTATGGGGAGATGAAGGTTAGATTGTTGAAGCTGAGATCAAGGTAGATGAGTTTGAAGACTCCAATGAAGGTGTAGTCCATCACCTCTCGAATCAGGTTCTTCTTACAGTCCAAGTAAACAAGGTCACTGAGGAGACCTAGATTCATGGCTGGCAGGTAGGTGATTCTGTTATTGTCCAGGTACAGCCTCCGAGTGTTCAAGGGTATGTCAGGGGGGTACGCAGTAAACTGGTTTCCCGTGCAGATCACTTCTTGGGTTTGACACAGACAATTATGTGGACACTTTGACCCTGATACCAGCCCCATTCCAAAGGAGAAGAGTAACCACCCGGGTCCAGGGCCTGAAGCAAGGGACATAGTAAGAAGCCGAGACTACCCTCCTGCCACCTTCCTGCGGGCACTGTCCCTCTGATCAGCAGGCTGGCGAAGGGGCAGGGCCGGGGAAGGGTGCTGGAAAGAACTGTAACAATCTAGCTTTGTGCAAAGCAATTTTCCATTACAGGAGAACCGAACAGAAGTTGAAACGCGAGGCCCAATGCCCTGCCGCCAAGCTTGGTGGCTCTGCCGATTGCTCTCTTCCAGACTGCTGCTGGAAGCTTGCCTACTTGGCAGCTTTGAAAGGACTCACCCTTTCTCTGTGTTGCTAGTGAAGGGGAGCCAGGGGAGAGCCACATGACAATGAGCTTGCCAGTTGACACCTTTGTGATGTCAGCAGCCTCAGGAGACTGCCTGGCTGAGGGAAAGAAGGTCCTTGCCTTGCCTTCTGGGTGGTGTGGGTGTATTTTGTGTATCTCGGTAAGCTGGCTGCCCCTGGGGGAACTGGGCTTCTTGGGTAGGGGCCTGCAGCATGTGTGTGTGGGAAGGGGTTGCATGCGTGTACGTGAATGGTCAGGGATTACCTGGGTCTGTCTTTAACTGTTCCGTGGGAAGGTTAGGTTCCATGGGACCCTTGAATCCGTAGCTAAATAGAGAACGAGTCTCTAGTTTCACTCCTTTCTTTACTGATGAGTAAAATGGTTTGCTCAAAGTCTGTTCTCAGAGTGGCTTTTCTCCTTGAGTTTTGAGTTTGGATGGCTGACATTTTTTAGAGTTTTCTACAGAAGTTAGAAAAGGAGACCTCTTTTGAAATAAAGCAAGAAGAATTCCTCTCATAAGGTGATCCTCTTTTAAAAGTTTCATTTCTAGATTGTATGTGTCCTTATCTGCATTTGAAATATATATGTGCACTAGAATTTTTGAAAACCATTTGAACAAGTATAAGCTACTCCCTCAACCTCCTACTACCCAAGTAACCCCCCTGCCCCACCAAACTCAAATGTATTAAAAAAAATCCAGGGAACAATAATATGATTTTTCCCCCTTACCATTTGTATTCTCTTAGGACTCTTTTAAAAATGGGGAGTGTCTTTCTAGTGCTTCTCTTGAGTTTCTATTCATTAACACATGACAGATGATGGTAGGGGAGTCTCAAGGGGAGGGGGAGGGGTGGAGATTCTGGAAGTGAAAGAATTAGGATATATTATCCATTCCATGGAAGGAAACACATTAAGGCAGAAATGAAGTTAAAGCATCTCAGGAATAAAAATTTATATTTTTGGGGAAATAGGATTTCATTCTTTACGACATTCATATGCAACTTAGCTAGGCATGTCTATAAAATAATGACACCTATATTTACTTTAACACAGTGCCTGGCATATGGTATGCAATAAATATTTATTAAATGAATGATGCGTGAATGTCTCTTATGGTGTGCTCCCTTCTCTTGCTGCTCTGCCAAGAGAGAAATTAATAAACTCAAGTGGATTTTGTGGTTAGTTAGCTAATGTTTGATTATGTTTACTTACTCAGCATTCTTAGTCATGATTAATATGATGACTTAGGAGTGTTTACCAAATTGAAAGTGACCTTATTTAAGTAGAAATTTCAAATGCTCAAAGTAATGACCTGAATGAAAGTTGTGCTAATTGAAAATAGTTTTATTGATGGGGTGTAGGGCATCCTTTCCTGATAATTAAAAACAAAAAAATTCTATTAAGGAAAGGTTCCTTGCTAGACCTTATGTGATTGCCCAGGGGAGGAGATTGGTACTTGAGGCCTTTGAAAAGAGTTAATTTCTAGAGTGACCGTTTCCTCTGGGAGCTGGGTATGAAGGTGTGATTCATGATGGTGAGAATGTTACAGGAAGGCTATGTTTAGAATGGGATGATCACTAACTAACCTGCCAAGAATTCTGCACTGGTTCATTGTTTTTCCACCTTTTCTTTTATCCCATTGTTCCGTCTTTCTGATTCTTTCTTTCTTTTGGGAGTCAGTGAGTCCAGGTTGTCCCTTTTTACTTTTCAGCCTCCTTTCAGGTACCTGGGTGGCACAGGCAGTTAGTTCTCAGCTACAGATCAAAAGGTGGGCAGTTCAAATCTTTCCAGTGTGTCATGGAAAAAAGTCCTGGCGATCTGGTTCCGTTATATTACCATAATGCAGTTTTCCTCTGACACATGCGGTGTCACCATGATTCACCATTGACTTGATGGCAGTGGTTTGGTTTTATGGTTTATCTGGACTAACTTTCTCAAGACAGTAGCCTCTGGCTTAGGTTTTTCTGTTGGCCATCGTATGACAAGTGCTCCCTCTCAGAGAGGCCTTAGAAAAGTACATCATACTGGAGGTTATTAACCCACCCAGTCTGCTCTGTCTTCCCATCTCTGGAGAACTATCATTTTAACAAAGTGTCATGAATGGTGTGAATGGTGAACCTCACAGAATATTTTTAACGTTTGAGGTAGCCATAAATTTTGTGGTCCGGAAGCCTGAACATCCATGAACCTAAACTGGCAAAGCTAGTCTCTTAGCTTTGCCAGGTTAGACCAGATCCCTAAAATTTGTCCCTCACTTTGGAACTGAGTACAAGAAGACTTCAAAAAGTTGATGGAAAACTTCCATTATTTTTCAGTTCCATTTTTCACAAGCTTTTAAAAGTCCCCTCATGTTTGTTCAATAGACAATGAGAATCAAGAATGCAGCATTTCCCAAATTACCAGACCTCAGAAATCTTTCCTCCACTCCTGAGGACTATCTTTCTGAGATCTTGCTTTGGAACAGTGTAGACTAGACTGCTCTTGATTGGGTTGCCTAATGTCTCTGGGCTTCATTTTTCTCACCTGTATACGAAGGAGCTCTCGTAGCGTAGTGGTTACGAATTGGGCTGCAAACCTTAAGGTCAGCAGTTCGAAACTACCAGACGCTCTGCGGGAGAAAGATGAGGCTTTCTACTCCCGTAAAGATTTACACCCTCGGAAACCCTGTACAGGGTCGCTATGGGTCGGAACCGACTCGATGGCACTTAACAACAACAACAACATACGAAGGAAGAAGCCCTGGTGCTGTAGAATAAGCTCTGGATTTCTAACGGCAAGGCTGGCACTTCAAAACCCACCATCATGCTCTGGGGTAGAAAGATGAGGCTTTCTGCAGCCTTGAAAATCCTGCATAGGGCTGCTATGAGTTAGACTTGACTTTATGGCATTTGATTGAGTTTGGTTTTTGTCTTTCTTGATGCGGCACTGTTGGATAAGCACTGGATTGCTCACTGCAAGGTTGGCAGTTCAAACCCTTCAGCTGCTCCTTGGAAACCCTACAGAGGATTGGTATGAGTCAGAACCAACTCAACGGCACCTAACAACAACAGCAATGCATTGAAGAAGGTGAACTAGATGATTTCCAAGTTTCCATAAGACTTCCAACCCCCTTTATAATGGAAGGATTTCAGGGACTCTTCCAGCAGGCCAATAGGGGAAGTATTTTATGATCAAGAGGAGAGCCTTCATATTCTTTCTGATCATACCAGGCAGCTTGCTTGCTGGGTGGCCACAACATGGCATTTGCTTTTGCCAGCAAGCTACTCAAGCAGCTTCAGCTGTGTAGCAGTTTCATCAGCTACCCTGATCCTCAGGTGGCCAGGGTTGACAGCCTTTCAGCAGGACAGGTGGAGTATCAAGTGCGCTCACTGGGAGGTTCCTGTATCAGTACAATCTTACTAGCGAGTCTGGGCTTGGGAACAGGCACTGCTATCCCAGTTTAATGATCCCTCAAAGGTGTCAGCACACCTCCAAACAGTTCTCTTGGTGATACACAGGACAGGTGGTACAGTGGAAGCAGTCCATGAATGTTACCCAACCAAAACTCTTAATGACCCTATAGAGGAGTTCTGAGCAGACAACCTAATCTTTCTCCCACGGAGCTGCTGGTGGCTTTGAACCACCACCTTGAGGTTAGCAGCCCAATGCTTAACACACATAAGTGTTAGCTATAAATATTCCAGTCAGATGCATGGGTATAAGTGAGAAGGGAAATTAACCTCTGACATACTTCTATTGGCTCAGGAGAAAAATAGCAGGAAGAAATGTGTGTGCTATCTTCATACATTGCAATTGCTGATGTGCTTATCCACTCAGGACTTCCATTGAGATGCTTTCAATCAGGGAATGCGGGTTTAAGTCCTGAGAGTGTCAAAGTTTCAAGGACTTTGGTGTAGGAACCACTTCAGGGATTCAGTTCACTCCAGTCTTTGGCTCTGCCTGGGCCTCCTTGAGCAAGGTCATCTGAGCCGATGTGGGGCTTGGGGCAAGTCCCATGGAAAACAGATTAAAATGAGCAAAGTCAGCCTTGAGGGAAAAAAAAAAAAATCCAAAACATGCCAAGAGGGCAGGGCCAAAGGGCTGAAGATCTATTTATCTATCTCTGTCTGTATCTATGTGTGATCCTTGGGTCTTTTTTGAGTACCAGCTGGTGTGAACTATTTTTGTCTTTTCCCTTCAGGCTGCCTGTCCCTCCCTGCTCTGGAGAGTGGACCCTTTCAAGTGTGGACCAGAGGAGGAAATCTCCCCAGTTTGTTGTGCTCCCCAGGGGACCCTTTGTTTGTAGGGTTCATCCACAGTATGCATTTCTACAGCAAAATGTTATCAAGTGGCACCCAAGGGGGAAGCCTTGAAATGGCACGTGATTTTGGGGGCCAGAAATGGAGTCCTATTTTTAGCTCATTACAGTTCTGCATGCTGTACTATTCATGGTTAGGCATCTGTGTAGTAGTCATTATGCCTGAACCATTGTGAGTTTGCCCGTCATGACAGGAGCTCAAGGCCAGGTATTTGGGAGGAGAACATCCACCTTCTTTTATAGGTGCCTTACACATTTCCAAGGCATCCTAGGGATGCATTGTGTTAAGTATTGGACTTCTAACAGCAAGGCTGCTGGTTCAAGCCCACTAGCTGGTCTTCGGGAGAAAGATGAGGCTGTGTGCCTCTTGGAAACCCTGAGGAGCAGTTCTACTCTGTCTTGTAGAGTGGCTATGAGTTGGAATC